AAAAAGTTTAACTCTCTGGCTGCCATGGAAGCTCAGAGGTGCCTTCCCTGTGGCAGTGATGGGGCAGAGAGTGGTTTCACATGAGCCAAGTAGCCCTCAGGGAGATGTAAACTCTTCTTGTGAGTGACCTTTCTGACATGGAAAGGTGCAGGGCCACCTCCTTTGCTGGGAATTCTGGTTTAAAAGTTTTTGATGCTTGAAGTGTTAGTTTCAGACTTTCATGAAGTGGTTTTCATGGGTCACCACAAGGTATCACAACTCATTGCTGGGACAATCTCGCCAGATTGTCCCTCCTTTGGAAGAACAAAGTTTGCACCCTCAAAACCTAGAGCTCGATTTTGCAGCCAGCCATGTCTTTTCTATCACACTGCCCCTGTAAATAGGTAAGAAGTTATGCAAGGTCCAGGACAGCTGTAATGCATGAGAGATTTGGCTGCCAAACAATGCTTCTGGCTGTGGGACAATTCTACCTGCTGCAGGGCTCCCCAGGTCCCTCAGCTCAGCACAGGAGCCCTGGGAGGTCAGAGTGCTCTTGGGTTTCTGCTTGTGTTCCCAGGGCCTCTGGGATACTTGCACAAAAACTCTCTCCCCATCCCTGACCCACAGCACCTGCCTCCCCTGGTCCTCCCCAGAGCCAAGCTGACTGTCCCAAGGTGACCAGAGCTTCTAGCTCCCAGTCACCCCATTGACAGACAAACCCCAACAATTAGATGAAGAAATAAATGTCTACGGGAGTGCCCACTTGGGATATCTCCAAAAACACAGCTCCAAAATGTGTGGCTCTTCAGGCAGTGGTGCTATTGTTCCACTGACCCTTCAGCTGATGTGGCAACATCTGTCTTCATCTCGCCATGGGATGAGACCCGTTTGCCTGGAGGACAGAAAAGCATGGTGCAGAAGAGCTGGGCTCCTTTTCCCCACCCATTCAGACAAACCATGCGGGAAAACAAGGCCACCCATTTGCAATAGTCTTTCCCCAGCAGCCACTGTTGTAGTAACACCAGAAATGTCAGGGAACTCCCCCAAAGAGGAAGCCTGCCCGTGCCATACACCCAAACAGTTCATGTTTGTAGTTGAGAAACACAGCGAGGAGCTTACTAATTGGCAAAAGGACCCATTTGTAGCTCTGCCTTTATTTTAGAAGGCAATTAGCACTGCGGAAGGATTCTCTCTGCTTCTTCAGTGTGCCACACTTCTTAGCTAAAGCATCCGTTTCTGGTTAACGCTATATCATAACATATGTCACAGTTCTGTAACTGAGTTGTTCTGTGGCATCAAGCAAACAGAGCCAGAGCAGAAGTCACGAGGGATGCAAAGGTGGGGGGGAAAATAGTGCTGTGAAATAAAATGGTACCTGCTGAAATGTAGTGGGGAGGTTTTCAGGGGAAAGCTAAAACTCTGGAAGATATAACTATTTGGGTTTTTCCCTTCCCATTCTCTTGAGAGGTGGGACTTTTTGATTTGGGTGGTTTTTATTTTGCAGACAAGCAAAGTGCAAATCCCTTCAGGTGAGGGCTGTGCCCAGGGACAGAGAATAGCAACATCAAACAGCCCAGGGGAGACAAACCAGATGGGCCTGTGAATCACTCCGTAAGCTCCATTTTGGGGCAGGAAAGACCTAGGGTTTCCATCAGGCAATGGGGACAGATGGGATGTGTGTGTGTGGAGATAAATGTGCTGGACAGCCTGCTGCTTGGGCTGGCCCTGGGGCTGGAGAAAGGCTTTAACTTCATCACGGAGCCATGTCGTGGCAACCACTTAGCTTAGCTTAGCTAAAGCAGAGGTGATGAGCACGTTACCACTGTGACAACCCTGGTGATGGCTCCAGGCCACCATCGTGGCTGTTGCCATGCCCACTGCTGACAGTGAGCAGGAGATACTCTTCTGGGGAGGGAATGCAAGTTTTCTCTTCGTGGTTGTGGAGAGCTATGCCCTAGGCTCCTGCTCTCCATTGAGCCAGGCTGCCACTGCAGAGGTCAGAAATAATTTATTTTTAATGCTATGAATATGTAGAAAGTTATCTGAGCTTCTCCACCCAGTGGCCATGAATTTAGAAATGGCATCAAAAACCATGGCGCTCGGTATGCTGCGCATTGGGTCAGAGCTATAAATTTCTCTTACTGGTGCATGAGCCATTTGCCATACGCAACTTTGTGAATTTGTGGTCATTTCTCTCTCTCTACCCCTGCGTGTCAAGTGTACAACCAAGATTTTATATTGTGCCTCTGAGACACAGAGTCCCCTGGTGCTTTTGCTGAGCATCCTAAATAGGCGTGCTCTCCTCCTCCCCTCTGCTCATGGCTTCTGGCCACAGCCTGGCCTTTAAATCACGGGCTGCTCCTGGACAGGCATTAACTGTGACTCTCCCCAGACAGAGGGTATTTGTTCAGAGCAATGAGTGATGCACCTCTGAACACACACAGCTCAACCTTGTGAGACCAGCTGCCCCTACGCCGAGTCTGAGACAGGCCCTCCAACACCGGCACCAGAGCCTCTGATCACAGGGCAAGTGCTTCCAAGACCTCTGAAATGCTCAGTGGCCTTTTCAAGGACAGTCCTTCTGAATGGAAAGGGAGAAAATGTTCAGTGTAGATATTGTGGGGGGGTCTGTTATGATGATACCTGTGTTGGGAGGAAAGCTTAAGCTAAGGAAGTTCACACCGTGGGGAGTGGAAGGTGGTGTTGCTGTTCACCTCGTTGGCTGTACTGCCTGGGCTCTTCCTCCTGTGCCTGTATCTGCTCTAGATATAAAAGCTGGTTTTTGTTGTTTTTATTTGTTTTTTTGTTGTTGTTGCTTTGTTTGTTGTTTGGGTTTTTTTTGAGACTATTTTTGCTCAGTGAATTAAAATGAAGCATTTGCAACCCCTCCTCCCCATCACAACTGCTCCCAGCAGCAGTGCTCTCTGGCTGGTCTCAGCCCCTCTGGTCATCCTGGGAAAGGAGACAAGTGGAGCAGCAGGACAGAAGCAGGCTGTCATTCAAGCCCATCTCTGCTGAGATGTGCCCATCTATTCAAACAGTGCTACCTTATTCTACAGACCTGCTCCCTCAGAGCAGATGTGACTATGATGTTTCCTAACTAATTTTTAATCCTTTTGGCGCAGCAGTGCCAACACACAAACATGAACTGTATCAACAGGACAGTTAATTAAATTCTGGTCTTGTCACAGTGGTGTAACCCCACTGAGATGCTTTGGTCTATTGACATAGAACAAGAAAAGTGGATTTTCTCAGATGCTGCTGAGAATCACACCTTGCCTGCAGGCTGCTGCTGACAATGATATGTGGGTAAAACTGGGGTCTGAGCCCCATGATGAGGGTAGAGAAGGATATTTGAAACTGTACACATCTGGGGCAAAGACAGCTGATACAGGCCCCTACTACTAACTCAGCCATCTGCAAAGCAAAGGTACCCAGAAAACTACGTGTACCACTTGGTTTCCTCTCTCCTTCCCAGCCAGCCAGAGTTTGAGGTAAGTCCTGCCCCTTCCAGTAGCTGAGGTAACTGCATCCAAAAGGGTCTATCAGCATAAGTTTTCTGTGCTTGTCAAATGTGAACCTTTGAGCCTTTTCAATTCAATCCTGTTCCAAGTGTATTTGTTTTTATGTTGTTCTCTTTAAATGGCAAGGTTTCCTAGATTTCTGACCTGCTGGTGTACATCTGGAGCACTCACCATTGTCCATCAGGGCCCTGCCAACCTGCAATCTGTATAAAAGCAGAGAGAAAGCACCTTTGCCATCATCTTTCAACTATAAAATGCTGGAAGGTGATCTTTGAAAACAGCACTACCTTCATGTATTTAGTAGGGAATAGGCATCAGGCAAAGGATATATCAGCTAAAGGGGCTGGCAGTGCAGGGTTATGAATGTGGAAACAGGTTAATAATAAAAACTGGTTTGTAGGTACTAGTAGACATGAGCAAAGGCAAGTTTGGAAAGCAAAGGTTTCACAGGAGGTGTCCCAGAAGAACCCCTCTGAAGCTATGGTTAGGGCAAATGCCATTCTCTGTTGCCACCGCAGACAGAAAGCAGAGGAGGTGAGAGCATCCTGTAAGACCTCAGCAGCTTTCTTCCAATTTTTTTCAAGCCTCCATGCACAGCTTCAGTGTTAACCCACCTTCTTGCCTATGCTTTCAAGTTTCATAACCTTTTAATCAAACGACCACCCAGCCTTCAAAAACAAATCCAAGGACTACTGTACTTTTAAGAAAGGATGGTCTTGCACAGCAACCACTTACAACCAAAAGAAAAAAAAAATCACTACAGTTTGATTGTTATGGTAAAGAGTAGGACAGGGGTAGAAAGTTGTAACTGCTTTTTTTTCTTTTGCTGTGGTTCTTTAGAGGTAGGGAACTGTGCACATCTGGCTTTAACAGTAACTTCCTGATGGCCTTTTGTCTCCCAGCTTCAAGCGTTTCTGAACCAGCTGAAGGCCACTTTCTTGCTTAGGGCTTTTGTCTCACTCCATCCTAGAGCTTTGTGACAAAACTGAGGTTATTTTGTGGAAGTCAGGAAGAAGGTCACTAGTGAGTGCGTTGCCTTTTGGCTAAGGTTAAGTTTATTTGAACTTACTATTTCTAATGTAACCAACTGATCCCTTACTGACCATTTTACTTTATATGTGCTCAAGGGCTGTAGTCTACAGTAAGTCTGTCTATCTTCTCCCACTCTTAGTACCCCGAAGCTACACAACCATGTCCCAGCACTGCCTCCTATCATCAAGCCATCCTTGTTTCACAGCTCAGAGCTGTAGAACACTTTAAAGATCCCATCCACACAACATAGTGGGAGTATAACTGTGTACGCTCTGTTTTGTTCGTAACACTGAGGAGCTCTCTGACTAAAGACACCTTTTTCTTCCCAGCCATCATTAACCAGTTATTCTTCTTTCAGCTTAGCTTCAATCTGCCACTTAAACATTAACTGTGTCTGTACCTAAAAATTAATTGAATGTTTCATTACAAATAGTATTGAGCTTAAACACCCAGAACAAGGCTGCCATTTGATTTCTTTATTTCAGAAATGATAAAGCACTCTTGCATTAAATTCTTATTCTCTCCAACAGCAGCTGAGCCACTAAACTGATGACATGTGGATTAACCAAACAGTCTAGCAAATCATTGGTAGAAAGGGCTGTTTGTGAGGCATTTGGACTGCTGTCTGGACCCATTTGATGTGCAGATGTTTCACAGTCATTACTCGTTACCAGCCGCTTCCTGGTGCGGTGTAATTTTCCAAAATGTCCTCCTTCATTTTCATGGAGAAAATCTCTGCCGTCACTTTCAACTGCAACTGCACCCATCGAGCCTGTTTCTTGAGACTGTGGTAAAACTTGAATAAGATGAGGCCCAAAAGGTATTTTATGCAGCTTTTCTGCTTTCGGTGTTGAAAAGCCAAATTTGTGGGTTAGTAATTTGCAGCCCTCTGATTCACAGTCAACTTCCCTCTTCTTCCTCTTGCATGAAGCGCTTGCCCTTTGCTCTGCATGAGTGCTGCTGGGACGTGCCTGCTCTGACATGCTTGCCTTTTGACACTCAAAATATGCAGACACTGCTTTATTCAGGTACTGAAGATTGATTTCATGGGATGTTGCCTCAACCTAAGAAAACACCCAGGATACACTCAGTTAAAAGGAGATGTATTTCAATTCAGTGTTGCATGATTATCTTCCATGAATTACTTTTGCTATGTGAAGGGAAGAAATTTAAAATTCCCTTTCTCAGGCAGCAGAAAGACTCAGGGGGAGCTAAGCAAAATGTCAGTAATTCTCTGTTATCACTGCTATAATGGGAGTAAGTGAGCGCTTACCTCTGTGGGATTTAGCCAGAGATCTCCATCACTGGGATTCTCTGCTGATTTTATGGCACATACCACCATTCGAGTTATTGCTTCTTCTACACGGGCTTCATGATCTGCATCCTGCCTCAAGGGAACAGAAAGTGTTTGGAGATAGGTTAGCACTTGGGTCTCTGCAGGAACATGGAAGTTCTTGGGAAGAACTAAATGCACGTCCTTAGTTTGAAAGCCATACTCACATATGTGAGGTCAGTGAAAGGCTTCAGACTTTTGATGCTCCTACACATGTGTATAGCCCCCACATAAGTAATAACACAGGCTTTGGTGTGAAGACTCATCTGAATAAGGTTTTGCAAAAAACCTGTGTGTGTATATCATCTTTTTCCTGACTAGTGTTCTGTTAATTGAATCTGGTGCTTGAAATTACAATACAATGTTCGCATTTAATTAATCTGTGCATTTCATAGAATCATAGAATAGTTTGGTTGGAAAAGACCATTACGATCATCTAGTCCAACTGTAAACCTGGCATTGCCAAAATCACCGCTAAACTGTGTCCCCAAGTACCACATCTACAGGTCCTTTAAATCCCTCCAGGGATGGGGCCTCCACCGCCTCCCTGGGCAGCCTGTTCCAATACTTGACAACCCTTTCAGTGAATAATTTTTTCCTAATATCCAACCTAAACCTCCCCTGGCACAACTTAAGGCTGTTTCCTCTTGTCCTATCACTTGTCATTTGGGAGAAGATTTATATAGCTCTTTAGGACTAGAAGGACCATGAATATACATAGTAGATTTTATATATCTATGTATTATGTCTAATTTGAGTACTTAAAAACCACAGGATGTTACAGCAAGGCAGCGACTAGCTGGGGGCTTGCACAGACACAAAAGTGAATATTAAGGAAATTCAGGAAATATTTTATCATGTAACAGTAGCTGACATACTGCTGCAGTTTTAAATATTACCAGAAGGAAAAACGTGTTTCCTCTGAAAGCTTTCCTGTAAAACTAAATACTATGCTCCCAACTGCTGCTTTGTTTTGGGCCCTTGCTTTCTGCATCATCACCTTGTGTAGTTGGGTACTAGCTAGTTCAGAGTAATGGAACAAAACTCTACAGGATCTTTTCAAGCTTTCCTTCCCACTTAACTGAATTTCTTGTATGTGGAAGGAGATAATAAGACTCCAAACGGGATGGGTGGTACAGTTATTTCAATGGCAAGTGCTTAGGAGCATATATGTAAACTTGCTTTCATTGAGATGCTTAGACATCCAAGTTTTGGAAGAAAAGTCAAGCCACAGCCCTGAACTGCCTGATCGTGGCTTTGCAGAACACATCAAGCAAACCATGCATCTTGCTAGCATGAGTGCTGAAGGCAGTAATTCATCCTGGAACCGTGGGCAGAATTTGGAATAGAAGCAGGGGGAAGCGCTCTTAGCATTTTGTGGCTTTGGACGCTTGGCTTATTAATGGCCTCATATAACAAGTCCCCAAAACACAGTTTGGTATCTACATGTGGAAATTATTTAAGCTGTGCTCTTGGTATTCATCCTGGTCTGCTGAATAACAGGGTTGTACCGATTGCATGAGAGTATGTTAGGAAGCAAGGAATGCTTTGAGTAGCTGACATCCTGAAAACAAATTGAACTTCTACTTTAAAGTCTTGTCAATATAATTAATGGTTTCACTAGGACTATAAATGTTGTTGTGATTCACATCTGTCAATATGAAGGCAGCTGGTAAAAGCTGCAAGCAGGAACTGCTTGGTTTGGTAATGGAAATGATCTCAGTATTGTGTTTTAGCATCTATGTCAGAATTTATTTTTATAGATGGATTGACCAACACCTAACAGTGCTGCCATCATCAGCTGAAGGCATAATTCCTGTAATGAACTTTTACCTGGGTTGCAATAGTTACACTTGTTTATAGAAGCTTTTGACACTTGGGGAGGGGGAATGTCTATCATTCATTAGCAAGATCCAGCAAACACTCCTCGGCTCATGATGCCATACACAACTACCTGCTCTTGCTGTCACCAGACAGGCTCTTGGTGACTTCTGCAAGACCTTTATGACCAGAAAGGCCATACAGATCAGCTCTACTATAGTCTTTTTTTTTTTTTCTTGCAGCACACAAGAACATCTAGAAATGCTATAGCTAATGCACCACACAGCCACCTGGGATTTACTGGCCTGGCACAACTGGCCCAGTCCTGACCTGCTCCTCCAGAGAGGGAACAATTTGTGAGGCACAGTTTATGGTGCAAGTGTGTGTGTTAACATCAGGGTCTTTCCAAGCATGGAGGACACAGCCAGTTCCTCTGTATTACCTGTTAGATGCTGCTCAAATTTAAAGCAGGCTTAAATGGTTGCTCTACAACACTGTTGGTGCTTCCTCTGGCACTGGACAAAGTCTGACTGTACTTAGGGCTATACAGGAATTTGGTATGGACTGTCCACCTGATATCCTATCTAAATATATAGTCTCATCTGGAAAATATCTTTATGAGGGGAATGCCCAAGTGAGTTCCTTTACTCTGCAAATGCTGGGTTTGATGTTGGTATAAGAAAAGTATCATGCAGTCTTTGAACTGCAGTCCAATGTATGTGTTCATTCACCTGCAGATTTTCAGTCTAATAAAGGTTGGTGTTTTTTGTTTTTAAAAAAAGGCAATAAGTATGTTAGTGAGGCAGTTTTCACAGGCCATTTCAAAGGATCTTGCTTATATTAAGCTAGGATTAATGATAAAGTAATTTGAATCAGAAAACCTTCTGGAGCATTGAGATGATATCCCTGGAACCATCCCATACACACTGGTTAACATGAGCAAGAAAAATCAAAGCCTGAGGAAAAGAAAATTAATTAAGTACTTGAGAAAATCCAACTCCAGGCAAATCAAAACTATCACAGAGAAATGAAAATTCCAAAATCCTCTGCCACCCCCTTCCTATCACATTAATCTGATTTTAATTCTAATTTAGCTTGGCATGTAAGCATGTGCTTGAGGTGAAGCTGGTATTTTTGTCATCTTCTATTCAGTACAAAGCTAGCTACTCCATAAGAAATTGGACGTGAAAAGTTTAGCTTGTGTTTAATTGTTTGCCTGACTGAGGTAAACATGTGATTTCTGCTGAACTGAGGCTTCAGATCTGGAACCTCGGAAGGTTCTTCAGGAAAAGCTGTATCCATATGGGCTCTTTCCTCACCAGCCTGGGAACACAGCACACCCAAAAGGGCTGAACCTGGCAGGCAAGGAACAAAAGGCTTCAGCTTTGATCCTTACAGAAGTTCCTGCTCAATGCAGCTTGAGTTCTGAGTGGCATCATTTCTCTGCTCAGGTCATATTCTTTTCAGTTTTCTTGCTGGAGATGGTTCTTTCTTCTCCCCCTACTTTCTCTAGCAAAAACCCTGAATTGAATGTTGTGCTACTGGCAAAGCATAGCTGCATTTTAGCGGTGGCTGACAAATGATGCTAGTAAAAATACACGTCTGCATTGTTTTTTGAGATCCTGAGGATAAAAGGTGCTATGTAAATGCAAGCACCATTGAAACTGCCCAAAAGTCTCATGAGGTCATAAAATTTGGGACTGGATTATTTGTGTCAGCTTTCCTATTCTTTATAATATATGCAAACATGGAAGTGCTACATCACCATGACATAAAAAGGAAAATACCAGTTCAATCCACGAATTTATGCTGACAGTGATGGGGTCAATGGATTCCACATAGTGCCACCAGTGCCTTGGAATGAGCAGGACCTGGAATCAGAGACATCACCTTAGGGTACTAGCAGAGGCTTGAAGAAAGATAAGGCATTTTAATTAAGTGGGATGAAGAGGCAGAATGAGGCAAGGAATAGGTGGTGATGTTTATTTCTTCTAAGGAGCCTTTTCTCAAGACTAGTATCCTAATGCTCATCTAGGTGATTAACAATATATAGTTTTAATTCTGGTAAATACTCACCAATTTTAAACTTGTCACTTTTAGCAGACAGGCTTTTAAAATAAGGTGTCTCAGAAATCATGACAGTCTAGTTTAGATCAGAGCTTTGCAACTACATTGGGATGATAGCTGTGACATAAAATTGATTCTAACCCATGGCTTTTATGGTACAAAGACATTAATGTTGTTTTGATGATATAGTACAAGCTTTACAGATTACTGAATGTTAGATTAACATAGAGCTATCAAGAAAAGCATAAAAGATGGTTTTGACAGGGAATAAAAATGGTCAGAGACAGATAAAAATATACACTTCAGAATGGAGAAAGTGAAGCAATGATCTGTATCTGAAATGCAGACAATTCCTTTTCTTGGTAGACATAAATTACTGAGAAGAATGTCCTGCTACCTTGATAGCCATGTGCTTTATTATATCAAAACATAGCTAATGAGGAAATGTCTGTGTAGGAAACAATGACTGAGGCCCTAGTCCTGCAAACTCACAGGACAGTCAGAGAAGAGTAATTTGTGGGCCACAGGACAAAGCGTTCTTCACAGCTTTCAATTTAAGTAAAACAAAAAAAGCATTGGCTCTCTAAAGGCCAAAAACATTTGAAAATTGTACTTGAGTACAGCATACAAAACAGAGAAGGAAGTCAGTCTGTGGAGAGCCATTATTTAAAAAATATCAACCATTACTTATTCCTGACATCTGAAAGTACACAAAATCCTACACAGACTGAAGACAAAATGTGTTTTCTACACAGGACAAGTTTCAGAGTGGAGCTTTTATCATAGAAACCTACACTTAAAATGAAAAGTGCAGTTGCATTAGCTGCAATGGGTTTATGTGTTAGCAAGTGTTTGCTCATGTTTCATTGATAGCAGAATCACATAAAAACCACTCATCTGCTTTATAGGGGACCTTGTATTGCACTCAGTTAAAGAATGTGGGTGCTGTCCAAAGGACAGGGTATAATGATGAAGCCTTGAAAATTCTGGCGTACAGCAGAGGGTGGCATATCTTCTGGAGTAAATAACTGTTTCCAACAATGAGGTCCTTACTGTGAGACTTGGGTAGGAAGAGTGAGTTTGCAACATGCTAGAGAGGTGGATGGAGACACTATGGAATTGGGGTATGGTGAAGAGGGAACAAAAGTAAGAGGCAAATTAAGGGAAGTGTGTAAAGATTGCAGTAAGAGGGGCTGCCTGGAAAAACCAAGATGGAAATTGGGAATGCAATGTGTTGGCTCAATGTGATTCTTGTGCAAAGTAGAGACAGAATTGCTTTGGAAAAAGGAGGTATAGCTAGCAGGAAAATACACTCCCTGCAAATAGTCCAGTTCTTTTCAAACCAGAGGAACTTGGTCTTTGGAGACACTAATCAGATTAAGCAGGTTAAGAGTAATAACTGCAAAGTTGTGTATTTCTGCAGCTGGCACTGTTTGCTAATGCACTTTATAGAGGAGCTACAGAGCTGTGACTCAGAGCCAAAACAGGTACCATAAAGATACTTGCTCACCCTCTTATTTTTGGGCAAGCTTATGCTTGTTGAAATAAGGATTTATAGCAGTAAGAACAATGAAATTATCAAAAAGCAAAAGGACTAAAACTTTAAGGAAGACAAGGGAAAAAAGTAATAAAAAATAATTTAAACCAAAAAATACAGTTGCAAGGGAGCAGCAGAACTAATAGAAGACAAAAAAAAAAAAATTCCAGTGAAGAGAGTAGAGCAGGATTCTTCTACCTTTACAAAAGCATGTTCTTCTGTGTTTGCAAACTAGAAGCAAAAAAAACCCCACAACAAAACCAAAACAAAACCCCACCACTGCCAGGTCCAACTATCAATTCCACAATAAAATAAAGCAGCATTCCATATGTTTATGAATATGGGACACAGATTTAGCTACACTTGAAATTACATTTCAATAGGAAACGTGAAAGTAAACCACCGTGAAATAACACATGTGTACAAAAATGCAGCAAACATTTTACAGGGAAAACGTAAAGTGCAAAAGCAAGGCAGAGCTCTTCCAAGCTAAGAGATAATTTTGTATTAGCCTGCTTTCTACAGATGATATCCAGCTTTGTGGGCTGGGAAGATACTGATCTAAAGAGCAACCAATCAGATAGTTTTAATATTTAGGCTAGTGACAGGCAAATATAGCAAATGAAGTCAAAGTAGGACAGAAATCTCAGAAAAGATAAAATGAAATTCTAGTCTGTAACAGGAGGAAAGAAACCAAGAGAACAGTTGGGAGAGCAAGTGGAGCAATGCTGAAGACTTGTACAGCACAGAGAACAGAACAGGTTTAAATTCTCAATGGACGTGATTAACTTGATACAGTGCAAAGGTTGGGCAAAGGTGGAATTGCTTCAAAAAGAGCATGCTATGAAGTGAAATATTATACCAAGAAATTCCTGCTCATTAGGAAAAGGTATTTGGGTAAATGTGCAAGGAAAGGAAGCACCAAAGAATGCCAGCATGATGGGAAGAAAAAGATAGGGGATGTGGGGGGCCCCAAGCAAATCCCAGAGCTGCTTGCAACACAGGCAATAACATCAATAAATGTATAGCCAGCTGTGTGGGAGTGCTGCCAGCCCATGCCCCATCCCAGCCAGTGCCTGGCTGCCCTGGTGCCAGGAAGGTGCTTCTTACTCTGCCTCCCTCCTGAGCTGGTGTCTTCCCACCCACTGAAATGGAGTGCCCGGGGCCACTGTCAGCAAAACCACAGACACAGCCCTGGGAGCAGGAAGGGAATGGGGCTGATACCGTTCTGTGTCCATAGGGACCTAGGCGAGGGAATGAATCTCTGGGAAGAAGTGGAAAAGTAGAGCCAGGAACTGGCAGTTCTCAACTTTGGTCAGCTGTCCCAGCTGTGTCCCCTCCCAGTTTCTTGTGGACCCCTCAGCCTCCTCGCTGGTGGGGTGGTGTGAGGAGCAGAAAAGGCCTTGACTCTGTGTAGGCTCTGCTCAGCAGTAACTAAATCACCTCTGTATTATCAACACTGTTTTCAGCACAAACCCAAAACATAACCCCATACTAGCTGCTATGAAGGAAACTGACTTCAGTCAAAGCCCAGTCAAAACCAGCACACTGTAACAGCACAGGTCCTGGTGTCCACTACCCATCCTGTCTGGGGTAGAGAATGTCAGTGCTTGAGGTAGCCCAGCATACAAGGTGCTTGCTTTCCATTAGGAAGGCAGGTGTGTGGAGCCTCATGTGTCCACCTTCAGACAAGCTGAGATGTGCTTTCTAGTCTTTTCACTGTTGTCTGGTTATATGAATATGGATTAAGAGGAAGATGGATTAAGAACAATTACATTAGCGAGCAGGAAGGAAGCAAGAAGTTGGTGAGAAATGGGGCAGAGGAAAGAATGATCAATGATTTTGTATTTGTATAGCACCTCCGTTTTTTTTGTAGCCTTTTCAGGTGGGATTCATCTCTCCTATTTTTAATCATCAAAAAAGTTAGGCATCTATATGCGTAGGCTCCTTTTATAGCCTGTGCTGAAGGACAAGATGGGATGAATGTTCCTGCAGGACTATAATTGTATAAGAAGAGAGGATGCATCTGGTAGAGCTGCCAGGTTTTTCCCACTGATGGCAGACACTTAAACCCTGGATGGGGTTTAAGTTGAGGGCAGCAGATCCTACCCTAACTCTCCTTAACACTTGTCCCAGAGTGTGGTGTGGAAGATACTAGAACAGATGTGTTTTGCTCCATTTACGTTCTATTAAGTACTATTTGTATATTTGGGAAAATAAAGGTGTTACTGAAAATATTGCAGAATTTATGAATAAATAAAACAAAAAAACTAATGCTTTGGGTGAAAACCCTCTAGTTCAGTGAGCACAAATCCACCAGCAGTCAGCCTCCTGCTTCACACTTACCACTCAGCCTTGCAACCACCATATGGGTGACCATAACATGAGATCACTAACGTATAACCAGAAGTTGTATTAAGACCTCTGTGGATATTCAGCCCACAGCCACTGGTCAAGTACAGGTTGAAACCTTATAAAACCTAAAGTCTCAGCCAGCTACCTGAATTCATAACAGAGATTCACCTCTGAACAATACAGTGAAAGGGCACAAAGGATGCTATCAAAATACACATTGTGCATTGGTACAATGTTATAGGAAGGAATTCTGCTTTAAAGCCTTAAATTGGTGTAGAAAAATGACTTGTAGCAAACAATGACCAGAAGGTGGCATTAGACACATTAAGTTTTTGATTATTCAAAGTGCTGCTCACCCTACATGCAGCTGTTCTCCTGAATACCTAAGAACACCTTTGTCTTTGTTTTTCAATCCTTTATTGTTACAGTATCTCATCCAAAATGTTCTGCATACCCTCTGGGAAGGAGTGGGGATGCTATGTATTATCACAAAAAAAAAAAAGCTGGCTGCAAATTCTGCAGTAATTTTATTAATTCTACATGAAAACCACTGCTAAGCACATATCAAGATTGTTATTATTTGGAGATCCTCTCCCTTGTTCATGAAGGAGTTCTTCTAGGTCACTCCTTTTCTCTTCATCAGACAGCAGCAGTTCCCAGCCACCTGCCCCATAAGCTTCTGGATGAGATGCTGGAACACACCATCCAAAAGGCATTGATAAAAATGGATGAAGGCAATATACCTCACTGCTCCATCACTTCTGTGATATTACTGTCTTCCTCAGAAATCCAAACAGTATCTCCTTCATGGTAATGCAGACAACTTGTATTACTGAGCTGGCTCAAGATCTTTGTTCCTAGCAAGATTAATTTGTAATTGCTTTAAGCCTAATTAAAATTAAGATCATATTAAAGGTTCACTACCATACTTGATCATTCCAAAGGAGATTATAAATTGAAATAGTGTTGGGGATCATAGATAATGCAATGCTGAATGAATGTGGCATTTTTATCAATAGTAAAAATTTATTCTTTGTGTTTAAATTACTGAACATTGCACCTTACAAAGCACAGAATGTGAAACTAATAACTTGCTTTAGGACTATGGCTAGGAGCTGATGTAGTGCAACAATGAAAGTTCCGTACAAGCAGAAGGGCATACTCTTCCCAGTTGACAGACATCATCCTCTTGTTGGAAACTACTATCCTGCTCCAGTCTGCCATCTCACCAGTTCACAGAAGTGCTCAATCAAAATTATCTGGGTTCTTTAAAATGTTGAAGGCAGACGGGTTTGCCAGCGAGGAGCAAGGGAATACTTGCACAAGTTGCTGAGCTGGCAGGTCAAAAGAGGTGAAAAAAGGCTGTAAGAGCGGCAGCTCCACTGTCTGAAGCAGTCAGAGCAATGAACATTGCAAAATTCCTTTGGCAAGGCCTGACAGTTTGAGATGCACAGGAGTGCTTTGCAAGGGCATGCACTGCTGAACAAATGAAAAAAGGTAATTCAGACTCTAAATACAGACCATGTTGATTAAATAAAGAAGGACACTATTTACAGCAGGAGGCTAACAATTAAGAGTCCTGAGCCCTACTCTCATACTGCTGACTGCCTGGGTGACAATAAGGCTGGCACTTATAACTGAACTTTCTCAGTAAAAGAGGGTTAATAATATTCTCACATCCTTGTAAAGCACCGTGAAACCTCTGGCTGGTGCACACTCTAAATGCAGGTATCATCATTATAATACTCTGCTATTAAAGCAACAAGTTGGGCCAATGCTCCCTGGTGAAGGTTATTCACTATCAAAATATGAGTTCCTTTGCTAGCTCTATGTGCTCATTAATCAAATACATTTTATGGAATATACTGGTTTCAGAGTAGACAGGTTGGAGTACTGTTCAAGAAAGTTTTAAAGCAGACAAATTGGAAGTGATTGCAAGAACTCTGATGGAATTGCACAGCCAATTGAACTGACTTCTCTAAATGTTTGCGGTTTTTGGACAAAAAAGGCCAGTAAAATAACTGTGAGCAAAGAAAGTTCCCGTGCTGAGAGAAATATATCAAGCCTGAGTGCAGAGTGTAAGGGGAGGGAAGTATCACAGTCAGTTTGTTAAGATTTCCTAGCTCTTAAATAGCCAGTTAAATAATTTACTAGATTCTTTAAACTAATGTAAAGCTCATATGTGAAGGGTACCTGTCCTGGACTGAGTGTAACCACATGGGCTGTTGCATTCCTAAACTCAGGAAAGCGTTTCAGATCAGGGTTGGCAACGTTGACTTTGCTGAATATACTGGATTCCTCATAAGGGATCCTGGTGGGATAAAGGAAACCGGTGTCACCAGGTGGGAAGAGGTGCCATCTCTTCCTGAAAATAGAAAGATAAAAACGTATTCAGTGCATGTCAGTTACAGCAAAGAACTAAAGGCAGTAGCAAGGTTTTCAATAAAACATAAATCTGCCTCACTGTGTGAATCTCCTACGCAGTGAGAACACAGGCAGTGCTTACAGGCTGCCTCCTGAAAGTGTTTTTAAAATATTCCACTTTTTAATTTTTTAACTGGAAAGATTTACAGCTTCTCACAAATTATTTTTAAAAGGCAGATAAACCAATTTTTTTTAAAAAGCTCTTCCATCTGGTTCCTCCTTCCTAGCAACAGGCAGCATTTACAGATGCTCAGAGCATTAAAAATTGCTCTGTAAACCAGGGGAAATAGTTCTGTTGGAGACAATGTACTTTCATTCACTGAATGAAGAGCTGCTGTACCCATGTTTGTTTTGAAAGAAGGGCATTGTATGTTTACAATGGTAAGAGTATGGACATGATTTTCTGTCTCCTATCTTCCCCTACAGTACTTATTTGGCTGTTAGTCACAACCCCCTCATTCTTAGTAAAACTCACCTTGCTGCTTCTATACCACAGATGGCATAAATAAAAACCCAAGACATTCACAGACAGAAGTATCCTGAAACACCTCTATTTTTTTGTGTTATCAGTACCACATGATGAAAACATGGCTTGTGTGGGTCCCTGGGGTTAAGAACTCACTGGCAGGACTAAATGCCCAGATGGAGCAGGACAGGGTTGTTCTGCTCATGAGGGCACTCGTGTTCCAGGTTGTGCTCTATGCACTCAAAGAAGCGAGTCAACACATCACAGTGTGGGGCCAAGCAGAGCTGAGACACAGACCTCATCCTCAGGAGCTAATGTCTCTATTTCACTTAGATAGACCAGGTTAAAGAGAGAAAAAAGAATATGCCAGAACTGGTGGTTCCAGTTTTATGGGTACTATACATGAAGTACCTTAGCAGGTACATATGTTATTTAGAAATAGGAGTTTTATATGGTAGTACTTTAGGTGATGGAAATAACCAGAAAGGAATACACAAAGGGAGAATTTATTACATTTAAGAGGTGCCAGACAATCAGTACAACAGTGACCCATGCACTAAAGCAATGGAAAAGTAAAGGCAGTACTTTGTAGCACAGTTGGACAATTTGAGCAGCTCTTTTTGTTTCAGACTTTAGCAAGATCTTTTCTTTTTGTCCCTTTCCTTGGTACTTACTTCTTTCTTTTTGCCTACTGCTTCTGGTTGTCAGATCTAAGTCACAGATCTGAAAATGGGAGAAAAGCAGCCAAATGGCACAAAAACAGAAGAGACAGGAGTAGCAGGACAGCCAGAACTGCAGAGATTGGCACAGATGGAAGTGCCATCAGCCACTGAGATTTCTTGGTAATTACCAAAGCTCCTGCTATGTGCAAGCACAAAAAATAGTTCTCCTGAAACTCAAGCCCTATTGTAACTTAATTTTGCCCTCCAAACTAAAGCCTCTGAAGGGGCAGAGAATAACTAGGCTAGGAGGCTCATGGGTTAATCCTGCAGGCTTATGACAAAGCAATATCACAAAGCAAAAAATTAAGAAGCCCGAGGGATGCAAGGAGGAAGTTCAAGATAGCAACAAAGGGCTAAGGAGCCATCCCTGGCTTTCCTGCAAAGGCAAATCTATTTAAGTTTAGCATAAGCTTATATTCTGTTACAAAGCCTGTCTTATTTGTGAGTCTCAAAAGGGAATCTTTCTGCTCTGAAGAAGCACAGGATTCACAAGCTCATGGAAGTTTGCAATCTATTTATAGGCTTTGCTCTGAAGAGGAAAACAATTTTGTCTTTTCAGGCCACGCAAAGGCTTTAGGCTGTTTCTTTCCCTGAGAGGAACAAGGATTTTGTTCTACCAGAGGGGGAGGAAGTATCTTGGGAAGGCAGGCAAAATTGCTACCTGATGCTGGAACTCTGGCTTGAGTTCAGGACCTGAAGGTAGAGATCAAAGAGGCAGGGCAGGTACCAGGTCGGCTAGATTACTGTACTTATTTAGTATGCCCAGTATTTAGGTGCATCCTAAGATATTTAGGCATGTAAGTCTCATGGTTTTCAATGACCTTTCTGGCTCTTAAATACACTTAAGCATCTGAACTTCAATGTATAATGCTTACTGATGTGCTCTGAAGCCTTCAGGACTGGTTGCAGCAAAGCAACCAGTGCTGAGGGGGGCTTCCAGAGTGTCCCTGCTGCATGTTCGCCCAAGGATCTCAAGGCTTTTTATAAACATGAATGAAAACCTGCCTGAGAGGTAAACAGAGTTACCCTTACAGATAAGATGATAACAAATTCATTTGCCTCAGGCCTTAAAGCCAGCCAGCCTGTAACACTGCCCAGCATAGAAGCCAGCATGCCTGACTCCCAATCCTGCACCTTAATCACAAGACCACCATGATTTTACTGTTCCAGAAAATGTCAGAGTAATTAATCATACTAAAATCCCACTGGAAAATTATTTCTTCCTCTTTATACTATCCAACCTAAAAAATGCATGTAACTTGTTTTGTTCTTCTAGCAATAATAGATAACAAAGCCCCCCTGAGGCCAGTATGCAAGGAAAGGAGAAAAAAAAAAAAGAATGGGGGGAAAAAAAAAGACAGGATGCGAACAGGCAGAAAGATACAGGAACAAAGCCACATGCTCCAAAATGAGTTTGGAGCCTCAAGTGTCCCTTTCAACTTTGCTCACAGCTAGCTGCTCCCATCCTAATGTTCCCCTCTAAAATTAATTCTAGCAGGCTATTAGAGGCTCTTGCACACAGAATATTGTAAAAGTCTGAAGTAGTTTATTTCTGTTTTGTTTCTGGGCTTTTTATTTTAAACTTTTTATCTCCTAATTCCGAATTCCTGAATTCGTAACTACTAGGAAGATTAAAATGTTTACTATTGGACCACATAACACATAGATCAGGAAAGATCTTTCTCAAACAGAAGAAATTAAAACTGTTACCTCTGTGCCCCAGTCAAACTCCAACCCCTTGAAGTTCTGCCATATCCTATAGAACAGTTCTGACGCTCTTCAATCATTGAGAGCTCAGAAAACTAAAATAATCAGGACCCAGAATACTCAAGAGTCAAAAACTAACTTTATAGCACAGTTTAACTTCTGCACTTGTTACCTTCCTTGTACTTGCAGCACTAAGTTGCAGCCGTAGGAGTCCAAATGGCAGGGAGTGTTTGCTCCTTCAGAACCAATCCACAGTGTGCTCTCTTTTCCATTTCTTCCAGGAAAACCAAAGTCAGACCACCTTATATCCTAGAGCAAGGAGAAGGTTATTTATGTAAGCTGTTGAACTGATTCACATCCTACCCTCAGCTCTCCGTGTCTCTTGTCTTCTCCCTCCACCACTCAGTCCCTCTTTATCCACTGCAGCTGTTGTTCCTTGGCAGGGTTCCCACATGCATGGCCTGTGCTCCTTCCTCCAAAATTCTCCTCTCTAGCAGCATTTCTTCTGCTGACTTTCCTCTTTTTCTGTCTGACTACACAGCCTCCCAGATCTCTGTCTCCAGTTCTCATCCCAGTCTTTCATATCACTCAAGTTACCTGTTTGCTCTACAGAAGGACTGCCCAACTGCTCATGGCCACATGCGGCTTCTCTTCCCTCTTTTCAAACACTCTTTTTTTTTCCTTTCTCCGTTCTTAACCATCCACCCAAGGTGAGGATTGCTTTTAGAAAAAATCTGATACATGGCATTTAAAAAAAGAATGAAAGCAAGGATGGAAAAATCCCTATTCCCTTTTCAAACCACTTTGATAATCCATGTGGCATATCTGCTCTCTCTTTGCTCCTGTCAGCTTCCTCCATGTATTCTGGAAATACAGACCAAGAGGTAGGCTGGGGTTTTTTTAAGTTTCTTATTATTTAATGGACACATTCTTCTCCTGCCTTTGCAACTGCGGAGGCACTGAACTTAACTCGATTACGTGGTGAGAAAGGGCAGAACAGGTATGCATGTGTTATGAACATGGTCCTAGAGCTTTCCAGTCCATTGATCCTCCCACAAGCAATCCCTTGGGGATGACAGCTGGAGCGAGGGACAGTGAGGTATTTTTCAGAAAGTTCAAGGGTTTTGCAGGATGGCTCTGTATAGCCTGGATAAAGCTTTCCCATGTTTTTATAGCTCACTCTGTCACCTGCGGGGCCTGATCATTTGTTTGTTGGAAAGCACTTGAAGTATACTGGCCAGAGAGACTGGTGCCTTTTGGCTGGAGCCCCAGACCGAGCCTTAGGAAACAGAGATTCAATTCCTGGCTTCCTGATGGTCTCAGGCAAATCACTTCATCTCTGAGCTTTATTTTTGCCATCTTGAAAAGGAAGATAAAGGTATTTGTTCCGTTTCAGTACAGCACTTTGAGGTCATTCACATCACCTAACTTCAGGAACCCAATTTAAGCTTGGCTCCTGCTCTTGTCAAAGCACTCTCAATCACGCCTTGGAAAGCCTCTCTTTTTCTGCTGTCTATAAAGAGAAAATAGGAGTCTAGCCTCCTAATTTAAGTATGTAAGCTAGCTGTTTGCAGACAGATGGATGACTATCCTTTTTTAAGATCTATGGATGAGGAAAACTACATCTAGACATTGTTATAAGGATGACTTCACCATGACTCTATCAGGAAACCCCCAAAATAAGCAATAACCTTCCCAAAAATTAGGTGTTGCTAAAGATTTTGAATTTCAGAGTTATTGATTTTAAAGATATCATATGAAAAAATGCAGAAGTATAATATAAACATTTGTCAGAGGCAGCAAAGAATCAAAAAGTTGCTTCTATAGATTACAGCAGCCATAAAATTTAAAATCCAATATAACTATTTCAGTGATAAAGTTAAGCGTAACACCATCTCTACACTTTAATCTCACACCTAAATAGTTTTTGTATTTTGTTACAATTTAAGTGGAAAGAAAGCACACATAATCAATATTAGATTTAAAAGAACTTTTTGAAAATCCTGCAGCTGTAGTAAATAGTTGAAGCGATTATGGGTAAAATAGTTTTTAACCAATGAACTGAAAAGGAACTGGTAGGATTACTGAAATCTTGTCACAGTGGGTTCCTTTTCTACAATAAAAAGCCACAGTGAGAAGAAACGCACTAAAAGGTGTTCCAACCATAACAGATGGCACATTACTTGTGAATTATATTTATTTCATTTGCTGCTTATAATGAAGTTAATCTGTACCCGTATGTCACTTTAAAAGGTCTCATTTCTATTTAAACTTCACACATATATCTTGCTTCTGATTTATATCTCAAATTCTGTAGTGAAATATCAACTGAACAAAAAATGTAAGACGCTAGATACTGCTCATAGATTAGAATAATGGAATCATTACCTTAGCCCACACAACTGTAAATGATAAACAGTGCAATCTAAATTTCAAACAACTTCTAAATGGCCCTATTAATCACTATAAATAACAGTGCAGTTGGCCTTCTTTTCCCCTTCAGATCACCTTACGTAAATCTAAATAAAATCTAAAAAGAAAAAAAGGGTTATCATCAAATTCTCACAAGAATGGAAGAGAATTTCTACAAAGAACTCTTTTGGCTGGTAGAAATTGTGTAGCAGTGTTTCAAAAGCCATATGAGTCTGGAACTGATGGATGCATTTCACTCCCATGCCTGTGAAACTGGCAGATGACATACACCATATTTGCTTGCATAACACCATTGATTTTTTTATTTCCCAGATTCTGCTTTAAAAAAAAATCCATAGCATAACCATTACGTATGTCTATTCTAAAACTGCAGTACAATCTGTTGCTTGTTATAGGTCAGGTGATGAGGTTGTGGTGTGACACCTGCACAGAAATGCAATTCCTGGAGCCTCAGTTTTGTTCTTGAATGGGGGCAAGGGGAAGGAGGTAGGAAAATGGTTGTTTCCTTCAAGTGTGTTTTTATTGACCAAACGAAGCAGCAGCCTATTCAGGTCTTCTGAGCTGTTATTATCTTGTGCCATAAAACACAGGAAAGTGCTGTCTGCTGAGGCAGAAAAAGAGAAGACCAAAGCAGGACCATAGACAGAGGAAGTCACTCAAAGATCTGGGGAAGCCTGAAACATCTCTGGAGCTCCCAACTTAGTTCAAACAACATGACCCACTACCAGAGTTGTGCCGCCCAAGTTAATGTGATCTTGGTTGTGTTTTAGGGTGCTTAGGAAGGGAGGTGAGAAAGAAAGGTAAGATTGTCTCTGTGCCCAAACCTTACCTACTGACCCACAGATCAACTGGAAATGAGACAGTATGAAAAAAGACTGAGCACTGAAAAATACTAATTTTACTGATATAAAGGAATAAAATACATATAAGGGAATGCTTTCTGAGGAAATAATTCACGTGAAGGGACTTACCAGTTTGTACTCTGTCATCCCAGTGATACAAGTATTTGCAGAAACTTATGATTCCATCTTCACATTTGAAAGTATAGAAATGAATAAGGCTTCACTTACTATTCTTTATTTCTTTCTTTTGAAAGAATACACCTTTTGTACAGCTATCCTTAATTTTGCCCTCTTATAATTCGCAAGGAGAAGTAGCAGGAAAAAAATGTAGATTAACTCATGCATTGAAATAGCAGATAGACATGGAGAAAGTAAAAGAGAATACCCTAGGTAGGTGTCCTAAAACCTGCATTTGGAAATTATCATAGATTATGTACTTCCACGGACAGGTTACTTCATGTATTTTATTGCCTCCACAGGTCATCAAGGTATAATAATCCTGCGGACTCAGAATCTCTCTTCATCACAAACAGTTAATCTAAACATATTAAGGGAAGGAACTGTGCTCCTTGAGGAAATGAGCCACAAGGCAAAACATGCAGTGAAACCATAACACAGCCTTGTTGCTACAAGTGAATCCATGTGATCAAATCCTCTCTCCTGAGTGGAGCTGTTAATCTGGGTGCTATTTGGGTGCAAGATGGATCTGGGACAGCAGCAGGGTCTCAAGCTTGCACCATGCCAGGCCTGCTGGCTGCCTGTCCTGTCCTCTCCTCACTCTCATACCTCCAGCAGAGATGCAGGGAAGGTGTTCAGCTGCAGAGGTCACGCACATGACTCGGTGCTCCCCAAGCCTGCCCAGTCACAAGATATGCTGGGCTAAATGGAAGGGGAGTGCTGTCAATTTGGTAGTTACTTTTGTCACTTGTAGTGTTGTTTTTAAGCATATAAAGAGACTCAGAATTCTAGATGGCTGACACTTGGTACTAGTTCTCCATTAGCCTGAGAGCCAATAGCTTTTATTTCAAAATTTTAAAACAAACAGCCAAAGTAGCAGAGAGGGGATAGAAGTAGTGGTCTCAGAAGCTACACTAGATAATTTGCAATGATTAAACCAGGATGAGATAATACTAATGTTTTACCTGGAAAATTTCTGGCTTGTCTTCAAATATCCTGGCAATGTATTTGTAGTCGGCGTAAGCCCAATATTTGGAGTACTCGTAACAACTGAATGGTCCAGAGAGACAAGAAGGCTGCCCGCAACTCCAAGCCAAAAACTCTTCAAGTGTAGCCTTCACGTAGCTACACCTGGTTTCAAACTGGGGAACTAGAGCAACAAAAGAAAAGCCAAATATTACATGAGCATTGAGCACTGAACCAGTAAAAATAATACAGTTTTCTCTCTCAGCTCTTGTTAAATACAACATGAGATACAAAGTGGGACTAGGTGGCTAGACAATAAATTGTTTTCATTGCCTAACCCATAATTAAGTCTAAGACTATTTCTTTTTCATTAAGGTTTAAGTGAATGGCTGTCACCTTGAACTTGCTGTGAGGTAAAAGCACACCAATAGTTACTGTTCATTTGTAAGGCACCCTTCAGCACGGTAACTCAGTAATACGCTCAAGTTCCCCAAACTGAAAGCCTGTCCTTTGTTTCATCTCCTTTCTTAAGTGTGAGCTGCAAATGTGCACGAAAGTATTTGTGCACCCTTTATTCTGTCTCTGTGGATTTATGTAGATGGATATGTTAATCTTTCCCAAAAGCAATAACCAAATCAGCACAGTAATGTGTAGGAAGCAAATTATGGAGCCACATGTGTGCCAATGGCCCATCTAAAATGCTGTGTGTCCTTATTTTTCATTTGGGACAGACAAAAGCGTACTGTGGTGCTCCTTGGCAGACATAAAAAGTATTTACCAGCAGTGATTTGCTCTTGTCATGCTTTGGTCAGGCTGACTGATACAGCCTTTCAGCTCAAGGTCAGGTCACTTGGAAGGCCTACAAGATAACCCACATCACAGCATATTTTAATTGTGATTAATCAGAGATCTTCATTTCCCACAGACGCTAACTGTGCTAGCTTCAAAGAGACTTATCCAATGTTAAAAAAAAATATTACTGTACTATAACTACTACTGGGAAAAAAATTACTGCAGCCTGCATGAATGATAATGACAGAGCTGCAATTTAACCTTGTGTAACTTGCATAGAGCTGCTCAGAAATGGGAACCTTTCGCTGTTGTGCAGCAGCAGCTCTTCATTCTCTACCGCTCTCATTTTGTTATCGCAGCAATTCCCATAGAGTCTCATACATTTGTTCTCATTCCCTTTGGGAGGGAGGAGAGCCTTTACAAACCTTTATCACTATCATTTTGCCATTTTCCATTGTAGTAGCCTAGGTAGTGGTTTTCCTTCCCCTCGCTATCAAATTCATTAAGTAAAAATGTCAGATAAGCCCCAGCAATCCGTAACCTGGGTCCATGCAGTAGAAGGGCTCCCTACCTAAAAACTGCATGCAAGACATAAATCACCCACAATAACCAAACCCCCCTATATCTGATTCCCTGTCTGTGTTGCAGTCCAGTGCCCCCTCCTGACACCCAGTCATTAACACAATGCACATCATTTTACTAAAAGATGGTCTGATGGAAAAATTAGATAAAAGATACAAGCACTACTGAAGGTAGCTCAGTATCTGTATTATTTTGATGAGAACAAAGAGGACTTAGGACACTGCCTATTTTCCAAGATAACTCAGGAGCAAGCATTTTAAAGGCAAGAAATATACCCTTTCTACCTCATAGTGTATTTAACTCTGAGCTTCATTTAAAAAAATCCAACTATGAAAGGCAAGGCTATCTTCTAGGATACAGTCTCCTCAGGGCAGGGTTCTTGGTTTAATTTATAACTTGTTCAGTACCAAGGTGTGGGTGCTTATGGAAAAATAAATAGTAATAAAAAATGTACTTAGGCAAGCTAGGCAGATTGTTTACATGGATTTGTAGACTGCAACTAGGGTGAAAATGTTAGCAATGGGCAGCTGAAAGCAAGAACATTATTCACCAGTTTGCTAATACTTAATGACTAAAAGCTGAAGGTGTTTTGTAATTGATAAATTGTAGATTAAGCCCTGTAAGTCTAAGGTAAATGACCACTGCTGTCTGATGATGTGGTATCTGAAGGCATGACAGTCCTCCTCTCTCCCACCTAATGCCACAGACTGAAATCAGAGGGAGGGAGAGAGGGAAGAAGTGCTTTTTGGAGGAAGCAGCTCTCCTTGTAACATAAGGTCTGGTCCTGACAGACACCAAATTCTGTTCTACTCAGAAGGACAGTGTTTGCAACGTATACTAAGGGAAATGTAGGCAAAAAAGATAATAGCCTCAGAAAATACCCTAAAGCTCCAGTAAGAATGCAAGTGAAATTTCTCCTCCATTTCTTTAAACTTAAAAGAAAACCACGATTCGTACCTGCTGGGGAATTAAAATTATGTAAAAGAATAATCCAAGCAAGTATTAACCTTTTAATCCCCACTCAGGGTGCAAATGTGGTGCTAAAGAAAGATGAGAAGTTGTCATAGTAAGAGGTCTCAAATCATATTGGATCTTCCAGATGAACCTTGTGGCTTAACAAAACACAGGCAACCTCAGAAACCAAACAACTGACCATAGCCACCTCACATCTCAGCTTTATGCAATATTTATTCAGCATATATTTGTACTGTATTTTCAGCTACTGTTCAGCTACTGAGTCTACATCAAACCCCTCCTATACTCAGTCCCTCTCTATATCAAACCTCAGAGGCTTGAATTCTTTTGCTGTCCTTAGTGGTAGAACCTCCTGTGCAGATGTCCAAGATGCAGCCCTTTTCTATCCAATTGCGTATCTGACAGCATCAGATCTATCCAGCATCTCCAAGAGAAATTTCCTCCAGAGATCTTGTGACTCATAACTGACCAGCATGACAACCTCTTGTTCCTCCAGTTTCTTCACAGTAAACTCATTGTTTATTCATTTTACTACACAACCAGAGAAAATGGTCAAAATAAGAAATGTCTACATAGAGAAGTCAGTTTTGTGTAAGGTTTTTTCTTTCTTTGTAATTGCTGCTGTGCTCAGGTAGCCATCAGATAGATGGGCTATAATGCTGCATTTTCTCTGCCAGAAACTCAGCTTCCGTAGCTGCTGGCCACCCTTGATCCCACCTCAGAAAAATAAATCTTTTAGTGTGGCTGGAACTAGATAGGTAGAGATTTCCTGATTAATAGCACCTTCATTGTTCTTGTAATGAACACTGGTACTCTCTCTGGAGGTATCTTCCCTCTCTCAATGCTTAATCCTCTGATTGTATTTTTTCCCCTTATAGACACATATCGTTTAACTTGTGTAATCAGACAGAATAATACCAAACACACAAATTTAGGTAGTTACAAATAATTCACACAAATGATATGGCTAGCTCCCATGTTTTCCACATTTCAAAATAATTCACATCCATATGTCTCAGTTCCAAACTAGCAAGAAAAGCAAATATAAACTCCAAGCGACTCCCACCAAGTTGCCCCATTTGCAGTTCTCACTTTTTTATATTAAGGAATCTTCAGTTTGGGAATCCCCACCCAGGCTGCAAATGTGGCACTAAAGAAAGACGAGAAGTTGTCATAGTAAGAGGTCTCAAATAATTTTGGATCTTCCAGATGAACCTCGTAGCTTAAATAATAATCTCAGAAACTCTGAAGCAGCCATTTCAGAGTGACACCAAAATATACCTACAGGCAGGAGAACAGTTTCTTTCTTGTACATGCTTCCAACTCAGTGGCAGGAATGGTCCCATCTAGTCTTAAGGCAATTAATCTATTGTAAACATGAGAGGAATATTCAGAGAGATCAAAACAATTTTAGCTGTATTCTCCTGTTGCTTTCTCTAATCACATCACTGCCTCTGTTTCATCTGGGAGTGAGTGTGAACAATGATAAGAAAGAGAGGCCCTTGTTGAAAACCAATGTTAAGCAGGCAAGAGCGAGATCAACCATCTTCCAAATGACAGTGGTGAATTAAATGTACTATACATTATTTCTGACTCTGAGATGGCTGGGCAAATGGCTTCACTAATATATCCTTACAATGCAAATTTTTTATAGCATCACAGGTCTCATTCAGTTACCATATAACCCCTGAAGGCTCTACCCATCTTCTTGAAGATATTTCTAGCTCATATTAGCATATAATGGAGGCTCCTGGAGATAAACTGATTGCTGCCTAGGGTTTGATGACTTTAGGAAAAAGCAAAATACAGATAGATGTGACTTCAAGATACAAATTCCCATTTAAATCCACTCTATATCCCTAGAGACTACAAGTTATTGTTAAGTGATAACTCTTATCTACTTAGTTGGTAGCATCAAACCATCATTTAGCTACATCACAATCCATCAGTCCCATCAGCAGCTTTCCCAGTTGGCATACTCATTTGGCTCTCAGAAAGCACCTCTTAATTAATGACTAAAACTATCCTTTTACCTGGTAAGCCTTGTGTATATCACAAGTGAGATATATGAACAAAGTATCAAGGAAAATGTCATACATACACAATCTCTTTCCTATTGGCAATGGGATGCCTTCTACATGTAGTGCAAGAATTGGCTGCTAACTCGTTGAACTAGAGAGATATTGCTGTGAAGATGTGTACTGATGTATTAATGCTACACCTCAGTTATCTCATTTGTAGAAAGTGAATGAATAACGTTTTCCTGGGAATGGCATGGGAATCATTAATCCATGCTGGTAAAATGCTTTGAAATCCTAAAATGACAAGCATTTTCCCTCTAACACTTCTTTCTGTTTCATCACTTCTCTTGCAAAAATTGAACATGAAATAGTTTGGTCATGATCCTGTGAAGAAAGCAAATTTCACACAGTGTTGTTAAGTAAGATAATGTGATCTAATCTTACGACTTCCATAGGAACTGGCAGACCCTCATCTGGAGTCTCTGTGCAGACCCTACATTCCAAGAAAGAGGTAGTCCAACTGAAGAGGGTTAGAAGGGCATAGAAGGAATAGTTAGGAGGGATCCAAAAAACCATGCCTTATATTGTACATTTTTTAAGAACTGGGTTTGTCTGGCCTAGGGGGGGGAAAAAAAGAAAAGACTGAAAGGAGAGAAGATACTTTAGGCAAAAGGGAGAAAGTGCACAGAAAAATGTATTTTGGTGTGTGGCTGGGAGGGCAAAGGCTGTACAGGGCACAAATAAAGCAATGCCTAACCTCTAAAGAGGCCGGCAGATTGTCACCTTGGAGCATGTTTCCTGTATCTTCCCTCCATGGTATGAAACTCTCTGTCCATGGATAGACTATGACTAGTATTGTGTGGCTACAGACAGAAATTAAGTTGCAGTATTGAAAATCAAGTGCAAAAATTGTCTTTCTCCCATGGCATGATCCTAGATGCCTGAGTGAATCTTGGAGGGTTACAGATGACATTACTGTACCAGTGTCAAGTGATTTTCTTAATGCTTTATACTTCTGTAGCAACTTTCATTACAGGACCTTAAAGTACTGAAAACCACCACAGTCTTTTAGACCTCTGGAGGAAGGTGAGAATTATGACCATTTTACAGATTAAAAAAACCAAGACAGAGTGGTTAATTGGCTATTTTTTTAACACACTCAAGTCTGTGGATATAGAAGCTCAGCTCACGTGAACAACTGAATTACGTATAAGACCAGGACCAAACACACACACACTACAAAGCAAGGAAAGAAAACTGAGACACTTAATTCTTATATGCTAGTGTTACTCAGCAGACTTCCTACTAAGAAAGAGACAGTTCCATTGCTGCCCAAATCCCATGTCATAAAAACAAAGCTTGTGCAAAATACACAAGAACGAGACAGTTCCATTGCTGGCCAAATCCCATGTCATAAAAACAAAGCTTGTGGTGAAAAGCAAAACATTAGCGAGTGAACAGTAATAATGGAGAGGCAGAGGATTGCAGAACCTAAAAAAAGAGAATTGTGATATCAACTGTCTGTCCATTTCAATCTCACCTAAATCCATGGTCTTCAGGCCTAGCCTAAACTGGATTGTCTTTCCATCCAACACGGCAGAAAGGTATCTCGCATTCCAGCGTAGGGCTGGCCAGTCACCAACCATGTTACAGAAGACTGCAGGTTGCTGTAGAGACATCACAATTTCCTTGGTTTTCTCAGGAGTAAATGGTTTGACATCTTCATCTATGAAAAGAAAAAAACAGCTGTAGAGAAATGATTTATGATACATGAAGTGTTACCTACCATCTCCCACAGCACAGAAGAAATTAAGAACTAGCACCTCCTTTGTTTACGGTTGATTGTTTTATACATTTGTAGATTTTTTGAAGTCAAATTTCTACTGCAAACACTGAAAGAACATTCTTACACTAAATTAAAGTTTAAAGCAGTGTATTACCACACAAAATGTAAAAAAACAAAAATAGGCATGTGCTTAGAATTTTAATTTGTAGCTTAGGCAATAAAGCAGTGTAGCCAAACTGTTTAGAATTAAGCTAACAATAAAAAAAATTACAAATAATGTCCACAGTTTAGAGAACATATACTTTATGAGTAACAGTCTTTCTCCATGGGATTCTTTCCAAGAAATGTAGTACACTGTCACAGATAGCAAACCAGGTTCCCATGTATTTGATTAAACCAAGGAAGAGCAGTGTAACCAAAACAGCAGGTATTTTTAAAGTGTTCTAAAATTTCCTTTCATCTACAGAATTTTAGAAAAAGGAAATTGTGCTAATCAGAGAACTAAACTAACCCAAGATTTCCACTTACTCCTTTGCTGTTTAGAGATTTATATGCCCCACTGAAACTGTCGAGCTGAAATGCTGGCAACCTTGAATAAACTCTGCACTTTCAGAAAAACTTTTCTTTAGGGACATACTAAGAAGGAAAACCTGATTTAAAAACAAACAACAACATAACAGCTCCAGAGAGCTGACGCAGTGGATCATAAAAATACCCATTTATGATTTTAACCTCTACTGAAGTTAACTCATCCAGAATTTGTTATCTGTATAATGCTTAAGATGTAACATAATGAATTGGTAAGTGTGGTTCCCCATGACTTCTAGCAGCTCATTTAAAACAAACAAATTCAATCACTCTATGTAGGGGTCAAACTATGGTCTGGCATGCACAATGGGTTAAATAAACACAGGACAAGAAAATTCCCTTTACTGCTGGATGCTAATTTTGCCTCTCACTCCTCCCTGTGTGTGGGTGGTGGGACAGGCAGTGGAGAACCAGCTGGTCCCACACAGGGCAGCCTTGCAGTGCCAGCTGGGGGAAACATAGAAGAAGACCCACTGGGAACAAGGTGGTCAAGGAAGGTTCTTCAGGACTGTTTGCAATATAACAGTTTAAAATAAATCTATGAATGCTGAAGTGTGAATGGCAGGAAGAAGAGGAGCCCTGTACATGCTGTATGGCATATCTCTTTGGTAACTTTTGTGAGTCCCCCTTCTTTCAACAGGGTTTATACTCCAGCATAGCTGTACTTTTTAGTTTTCTAAATTAAGCTGCTATCTTCACACAAATTCAATGGGAGGTATCAGGGCTGGGGTTTCCTACAGTTGAGGGGTCCCTTCTCCCATGGACTTCCAGGGAAACTGAATCCCTCTCTCCTTTCACTCATGAAAACTCCATCTTGAAGCTTTAAAACTGAAGCTCCAGTTTTAAAGCTTTAAGCTTTTAAAACTGAAGTAGATAAAACTCCAATGTTTTATCTACACGGAACACAAAATTTGTAAATGGCTTCCCTTTCTTAAGGCAGATGACAAGAGGCAGTTTGGGTTTTGGTTTGTTTTCCACGTTTCCTCTCATACGCAGAGCAACACTTGACAGGAAGGTGTTGCTGTGACACAGAGATGTCTACGACACTTGGACTTCAGTCTCACGCTCTAGCAACCTGCACAACCAAGGCATAAGGAGGCCTCACAGGGACCGTATGTCTTACCATATGGTCTTCCCTACCCCCAGAAGGAAGCCCTGGAGGTTTCTGAGCAATAGGTTAGTACACCTAGAGGGAGCAAGTCCAGAAAAGGCAGAAAGACCATCTGCAGACACAGCAGCACGTGCTGGTGCAGCTACAAGGAGCTGGCTGTAGGCATGGCAAGAGCCCACAGCTCAGCGTGTTTTTTCACAGTGATGCTGTTCAAAGACTAAGGCAAGACTCACTCCAGATCTGAACATTCCCGCGGGGATTTGTAAAACAACTTCTGTCTTTAGCTGGTGCAATTATAGTATTGTACAGAGGTGGCTTTCACAATGCAGTAACTGGCTGGCCTTAGATTTTCCAACTCATAAAAATGAAACTATTCCTGCTTAGGCTAAGATAATCACCATGTGGCTGTCTCTTTGACTACTCAATTGTTTTTGTTTTAAGGGCAGTGCTTTTGATTATTTTAGAAGATGTAAATCCAAAGAAATGGAAGAAATTGATGGCAATTTTTGGGAGGATTTTGTAAAGCTGAGTTTTACTGCAAAAGCTTCAGGTTTATCCTGTAACTTCGGTTGGGATGTGCTACAAAAGCAGAAATTTTACTGGAAGAGACCGGAAGGCTCACTGAAGCCAACTGTTGATTCTGTGTGGCCTTCAGATGTGATTTCCACATGCACATTGTGCTTTTGAAAGGTGTGGTTTTAACCACAGTGAATATACAGTGGGAAGCTCAGAGCTCAAGCTACTGGGAGAGTTTGTATCAATGCCAAACAAAAAAGCACAATTAATGTAAATAGCTTCTCCTCTGCTGAACGTTAGCTGGAGGTTTTTATCATGTCACCATGCTTTGTCCAGCTGTAAACCTATTTCCCTATAAAATTCAGACACAAGGAAAGAGGGCAGTCTGTCTTAGTAAGATGCTAATCATTCCTATCTTCAAACAGATATTGTTAAATGAGTATATATCTTTTCCTGATATAGATAATCACATGTGATACATATGATATAATCAGCAGCGAAGTCTGAAATGTTTTAGAAAATTTACAGCATTAGATACGTGAACATTAGGGTTTTTTGAAAAGACAAATGGGGATTCTTGCTGATTTTCTGCAAAGAATCTTTTAGTGCCTGGATTCAGTTTTATGTATTCCTTGGTGAGAACAGCAGTCAGCTAAACACAGTTTTTTCCTCATAATATTTGTCATGCATATCTAAATGCCTGTTAGAGAAAAGGCACGCGATACAAGGTAAATATCAAATACTACATCAAATAGATATTATGATAATTTGGAGAAAACTGCTCATGACAAACAGAGTTTTCTGATGGAAATACATACTGTAGCAGTGGTAAAAGGTAATTAAGAGAGATATCTGAAGATATCTCTTGAAAGAGAGATTAGCAGAAAAAATTGTAATTTCAAATAACAATTATCTTTTCCTTAGTTACTGTTATCATAGCTTCACAAAGACCTCATAAGCTGGGCTCTTGCTTATCAGTATTTCCTAACCTGAAATTGATGGTAATTGATTCCTAGGCAAAACCTGATGTTGTATGGCATATATAAGGGCATACAGTTTGGACACAGATATGTATAAGCACAAGGTGTAAAATAAAATGTCTTGCAAAGAAACAAAATGTCCATGGCACATCTTGGGCATTAGATAATCAAATTCCTAGGGGAGATCAGGTAGCAGGAGAGAATAAAAATGCATATTCACTTTGAAAAGAAGAGCTCTGTTGGAGTCTTCATTTTCTCAGTTGTACTCTGATCCAAAAGAGAAAAGAAATATTGTTAAATTAGTTCTTTCCATCAGGCTCAACAAATGATGTGGCTTCTCAGTACAAAGGGAAGCAGGAATAATTTGTCTCATGTTTTGACTTTACATAAGGCATGTATAGAATCCAACCAGGAACTGAAAAACCGAACCAAGTTTTAGCTCAAGTTTTGTAACTGTGACAGCTTATATAATTGGCGAAAAACGTAGGTGTTCTTTAGAAACGTAACATATTGCGAACTAGAGATCTTCCAATTAAAAAAACAAAGCTCTCCAGTCGTCTTTACATGAAATGTTGTCAAATACGAAGACTTGTCCAGACTTCAGCACTGATGGCAGGTAAAAGAAAAGCGATGAATTGGCTAAGTACTTCCCAGTAGACTTTGTGCCTCTAAGAGAGAAAAGAATTCATGTTCCTGATTAACAATTTTTCTGAATAAGTGAGTGGGGTTTAGGAATAGAGAGTTTAGCACAGCAGGCAGTCTGACAAAAAGTGGACTGGATCAAAGTTGTTCAGAAGTTAAATGTACCGTCATTCATTTAAAATAATTTAGCAAATTAGAAGAGTTCATTAGTGCGTGGTGGTTGGCTTCTACCAAAACACCCTGCTGCTTAAATATGAGATTTAATTGAGAGGTATTAAAATTATTTTCTAAAAGAGGGAGCACGAGGAAATCCTGGTAATGTATTTGGTATAAACTTCATCAAATTGTTTTTCTTGCAAATCTCTAATGCTTCATCATCCTTCTTTAAAAAACTGTACAAAAATTTGAAAGGAAAAAATGGCATTTTGAATACAGCCAGGTCACTCAAAAAATCAACTAAGCTCCA